TCAAGAATTTTTTTCTCAGTGTAATATACAAGCGATTTGAAGAATTCATCAGAAAAGTAGCAAGAGTCTATTTTGGAGAGAATGCAAATATCGGCAACGTGGCATTCACATTTACGTAACGTCTATGTGTAAAAAAATTGAAATGACAACGTAGTACACACACTTGCATACATCTGTGAAAAGATGTTAGCGGTATCATGTTAGCGCTTATTTGACAATTGTCTTTATTCCATAAATATCTATGTGTACATAAATTCGATATCGTCGGTAAATGATGATAACCTTTTTTACTTTTTGATGATCGCTCTACGTTATCGACGTTTATTAAGTTCGTCGCTTATTCCAGCATCCCCTTAAGACAGTGAGAAAGGAGGTCAATTGCGGGAAAAGTAATATACTTTTATTATTAATATCAATAATATGTAATATTAATAATTAAGTTAGTTTAGTTAATAATTAAATAGTTATAATATTATTTAAAACAAAATCTGTATTAAAATGAATTTATACTATACACTGAGGAAAAGACACTTCGAAATTTATTTATTTGTATGATACAAAATTTATTTTCGTGATATAAAATATATTTCTGAAATAAAATTTGTTTCGGTGAAATAAATTTTTATTCTATAAATAAATTTTCAAATATTTTTTTCTCAGTGTATTAAGATGAAAAATAAATAGATAAAACGAGAAAATTATTAATAAGAAACGATTAATAAAACAATCAACATTTACTCATAGTGCATCTATGAATTTGGTGCAAATAATTCGTCATTTTCCTGATAAATTCTCGTTGGTAGTTATTGATTAAGAGAGAAACGGGAAGTTGAATGTATATTATGCATAAAATGTATCGAATCGATGTTATTCATGTTATTTACACAAATTATTAATCCTTTCGGATTGGGTAATTTCATTTTTTGTTTTATTTAGGAAAAGCGACAAACCGTTGATCAGCTTGATATTTAAATTCACATTCGGAAAGAACGAAGGTACGCGTTGTAATTCGAGTTATTTTTTACAATCTTGTAGAAGTTTTTTTAAGGGCTTTCTTACTACGAAGTGATAAGATTAAGTCAAGGTTTGTGATAAACAGTACAATGTACTGTACATGTGCCTCTCGAAAGCACAACGTCTGGGGGGTGTAGTTACAATGCAAAGGTTAACGTTCTCCGTATCGCATCACAATACTTCCTTGATTTCTCGCGATTTACGACGAGCACTGTGGAAATCTCGAAAGGGCCGGCTAGCGCTGACAATGCGTTAATAACTTACACAACGAGAAGATTTAAAGAGCTCGCCGGACAGATGTATGGCGAAATTACTATCTCTCGCGGTCTCTTCGTACTCGAATAAATCGCGAGTCCCTTACATCCGATCGCGGCAGCAAACGCCAAAGAGTGGAAACCCTCCGGGTGCTCGTAAATCTGATCGGGTATTCTACTCTCTGGCACTTCTCTCTCTCTCTCTCTCTCTCTCTCTCTCTCTCTCTCTCTCTCTCTCTCTCTCTC